GTACAGTCTATCCCTTTGTCCACATCACTGATAAACAGGCTGAATAGGAAACATCACTGACTACAGGCCTCCTGCTGGATTCTGCTACGCTGATCACGACCCTTTGAGCTCTGCCAGTCAGCCGGTTCTTGATCCACCTCACTGTCCATTCATCTTACTCACATTTCATGGGTTTACCTACGGGGATGTTAGGGGACACAGTGTCAAAAGCCTTGCTGAAATAAAGGTAGTAGCAGGGTCATGCCCTGAGATCTTTGTCCATGACACATTGCTGCTGTTTAGCTGAAGGATATGAGAACTCAGAATATCCTACGACCTCTGCTTTGCTCCAGGTTGCTCCAGGCTTGATTGAAACAGGTCAGCAGTATGAATAAGATCACATATATTTTGTTTCCTTACATTCCCCTTTCTCCCCCACCAGCAAAAATCTGAGTATGATGTTGAGATGAAAGCATATTGGAAGTCAGTTGTTGTGAGTTTACGTGTAGTGGAACTATTGCTCCCAGTCAGGCAACTGTCTTGATTATTATGGTTGGGGTTTTTCGGTTGATTTTTTTTTTTGTTGTTTTTTGGTTTTTCTTATTCTGGGGTTTTCATAAAAGGGATTCATTTTGGCCCGCTCAGAAATGTTACATGTGTTAAAAGGGCAGATGGGATGAACAGCACTGTCCCTAGGTGTGATTCAGCAGCATGCTTTCTTTAATTTGGTCTTATGCCCAGCTACCCAGAGGATCTGCTCAACAACTGCTGTACAAACCAACTTGTGCCAAACCAGTAAGCCTGAACAACTGCAGACACTACACCACATTCCAGAGCTGTCTTTGTGACCACAGGCTCAGTTTCTTGAGGGAACCACCCCAGACAAACAGCTTTTTGCAGATGAGAGAAAGCTTGAGACCAGATAGGGCTGTTTTGAATTACTGGGAAATTCTACAGCCTCCAAAACCAGCACCCTTCATTCAAGCAGCTTTCTTTTTTTTCTTTTTTTTTTTTTCTTTTTCTACTATCAGGAACAGTTAAGCTCAAGTCTTCCAGGCTTATCTTATCAGAGGAGATAACCAGGGTCTTCTGAGTGTTTTGGACCTCGTGTCTTCCTGCTGGTGACCAGTACCCCAACCATGCACTACTGGGTGCACATTTGCTGTGTGAGCTGTGCTGTGTCATGTCCTGCATCACCAGTAGCCTTTGCAATAGGCATCACCCAATATAACACACTGCAAAGGTAAAATCAGAGTCCTGAGAAAGGTACAGGTTATGACAGCTTTACCATGCATAGTTCATACTGAGACTAAGTATTATGCTTAAGCCAATCTCTAGTGGCTGGCACCCTTAACTCCTTGACAATAATGTCATGCAAAACCATTGTGCTTTGACCTACAGATTGAACTTGAGTTACACCTTAAGCTAGTGTCATGCTGAAAATTTGTCCTCAGTACCCTGCAAGCGGGGAGGACAACAGTGTTACACTGAGTGGGGGAGAGAGATGCTGAAGGAAGAGGGCAATTCCTCGTAGCAACCCAAGTTTTTTATCAAATGTTGAGATATAACAGGTCCTTTGGGACGAACCTGTGTCCCCAAACAAGCAAACCATAGGAATTACTGTCCATAGGCCTATTTCTCAATCTGAAAACAGAAAAACAACTTCAGAAATTAAGTCACCTATATGTGTCCTACCAAATGTACCTGGCATGGGCCTGCAGAAATCACAGCAAGACCACAGCTACATAAAAGAAAACTGAAATTAACTACAGTTTTCAGCTGTGATGCTTATCTCTTTCAGAAAAAAACATGACACAGATGTTTTATTTTCTGTTGGTTAATTTATTTAACTTTTAATATGAAATCAATGACAAAGCTCTTTCACTTCAGGAAGTAGCCTAAAAAAATGGTGAGTAAGAAATGGCAGAGACAACTTCAAACACAACAAAACCACAGAATGCTTGAAAAATGTTGATGGAGGGCCCCTCTGGAGCTCACACAGTACAACTTCCAGCCACCAGCAGGGGCAATTAAATGAGGTTGCTCCAATGCTGGAAGATCTCACTGGACCCCATCCCATCAGTAAACATTCAGGTGAGAAAAGTGTCCCCTAACCTCTTGGCAATGTCCTGTATTGCAACTTGTGCCTATTGCCTTTGTCTCTACCTGTGCCCTTCTGAGAAGAGTCTACCTTCATTATCTCCATGCCCCACCTCCTGGGAGCTGACTGCAGCCAAAAGGTCTTTGATGCTTCCTCATCCCCGGGTTGAAACATGGCAAAAATCATTGTGAACTTAGGTGATAGAAGTCATGGTTACACAAAGGTCTGGTGAGGGTCAGATGGGCAAGAAATGCAGAGGATCTCTGCTAACCTAATTGTTTGATCAGCAATTTATAGTAATTTATTTAGATGACTATCTAATCACTCACTAAGCAATTGGATAATTGTTCCTGGTGTGAAGCCCACCAGGATTAGTCAACCAAAGAAACTCCTCCCATTGAAGACCTTGCAGACTGAAGGAGCCTGAAGGACCACAGGTGTCATTATGAGATCCACAGGGAAAAGCACTTCAGGATTCTGTAAAACTTATGGCATGTTTTTAAGGGGTTTGATGGAACATGTCAGTCATTATGTAATACTTAGGGAAAGGACCAAATGTAGGGGAAAAGAAGGTTCAAGATGGCTCAGGAAGGAATAAACATGGGAAAGCAGAGGCAAATGTGGATAAAAAGGAATGGCTCAGTATAAACAAGATTCTGTTTATACTGAACAGTCAGTGTTATTTCTCTGTGGGAGTCCACTTCATCACTACTGTGTGCCCCATCCTCTCATTAAATTCTACTTCTTTGTGAGTGCATCCTCTGCTCTTGGCAGGTGCCTGTGAACTTGAGGCTGGAATCACCAGTAACAGGAGCATAGCTCATATCCTCTGGGTGCCAGCAGCAGGGCAGTCCGCTGGGATTTGGGCCAGGTGCTGGACAAACTATCTGTGCAAACACGTGTGTTTGTTTTTCCTTGCATACTGATCAGCTGGGGAACAAGGTCAGGCTATCAGGGCTGCTCACAGTCTCCCTTGCTGCCCAGTGGATCTCCAGAGCTGTTGACCAGCCCATGGGCCCCATCCTGCACCATTACCAGCCAGGGGTATTTGCTTGGATGGTACTGCAGGTGGTCAGCAGCCCATTTCTCCAGTGTTCCAAGGTCCCTCTAAAGGGTGGTCCTCCCCCCCAGCATATACACCACTCCTCCAGTTTGGCAGCATTTCCAGATTTGCTCTGGTCTTGCCATGCCCTCACACAACTTAAGGAAGATTTTAAATTGCCTTACCCTAGCACCGCACTACTGTTATCAGCCCCCTGTGGGACTTCAGACCACTGAAGTCAACCCTTATAGCTCGAAGATCCAGTTCACCTTCAAGCCCACTGATCCACAGCTCAAAACATGGCCACCAAGTACCTGATGCTGAAGGCCTTGCTAAAGTTGTCCAGCATCCAGTGGTCTTCCCTTCTCCACAGAGTGTAGGTGCAGCAGCCTAGCACACGTGCCTTGCCTGCTGGAAAGGTTGGGGTGCACACTGTGGATCTTCTGCTGGCTTAGACAGAGCCAAGGAAAACGGTGGCTTTTTCTTCTAGAGAGCAGAAATAGATATACAGTATCTGAAATACGAATAGATTTAATATTTTTTTCCTTAAACCTGAATTCATTTACAAGAATGAAGCTCAAGCTTCATCATGCTCTGACTCTGTAGGATTGATCCCATGTTACAAGTGAGCTGAGCTGACTGATGGTGACCTGGTGAATCTGGTAAAGGAAGCTACAGACCACTGTAAATGGTTGAACCTGGCCCTGGCCAACAGTAAAGGTGCTGAATGGAAAAAATTAACATGTCAAAACTTTCTCCCCACTGAGAAGATATTCCTCCTCAGAAGGTATTTATGGAGGCGTCTATGCCCATGCACAGGGCATTACGGAGGAAGCTGCAGCCCAGGCTGATCCCACACCAGAGCAGGGACTACTGATGACTTGGACAGAAGCAACTGGTATGCTCAGAATGGCAAAAAAATAGCATTCCTGCTTCCCACAGCACTTGTCTCCTTGACTGAGGGTTTGGAACACGCTGAACATGATATGGGGAGATTGGATGAGAAGGGAGGTGGAACAACCAACTAGTGAGATAAGAATTTGTGTTGAGGCATTTGCATTCTCTGTACATTCAGATAAAATACCAGAACTTGATGTTGATTTAAAATAAAACTATTTTTACATAATTCCCCAGTTAAAGTCTGTTTGCCTGTGGCAAGAACCAACTCATTCCTTCACTGCCTGAGCTTTGCATTGCTATTGCCCATAAGCTGATAAAGCTAAAATATTACTTCATTTGCCTGTGCCCAAAAGGGAAAGGGTGAAAAAGAATAAAAATGGCAATTCTGAAGTTGAAAGGACCATGTTTCTTTCATGTATCCCCTAAACTGTGAGTTAACTTGAGACAGGGACACAGTGTCTTCTTCTTCCTTCCTTTCCTGGTCTTGCAGACCTAAATAACACAGTTTTCCCAGGCCTTTTATTTTAGCCTGGATGCAATCTGGACATCTTCCAACTTCAAAGGAGAAATTATTATTTAACTAAGTAATCTGAAGAACTGCAACCCTAATTCACACACTGTATTTAAGATTCCACTATTTGATAAAATGTCCAAGAGATGTACTAGAAGCAAAAATTATCAGAAGGAAGGAAAAGAGGATCTTGTGAATGTCATCCCACATTGTTTTAGGGTTCTGTACACCAGAAGCAACTTCCTCTCCACCCTTTCCCCCTCTTTATTAGCACTCTTTCTCTCTGAGTCAAATATCTTATAAACATAATCTGTTTGAATGTTAGGGATAACTGCTTGGGAATTAACAAAGAAAGCAAACAGAGAATATGTTGGTAATGCCCACATAGTTGCTCACTAACAGGTAACCAGAATAATATAGGGAATGATAAAAATGATAAATTTGTACTACATTAACACCATATTTTCCAGTGAAAAGTGATTTATTAGAAGTAATTAATTTTACATCTTCCAACAGCTCACAGTGAATGGCAATACGTTGCCAGTGTACTGAACATTGTGGTTGTTTTATAGTTGAAAAAATTTCATTATTAGTGATCAAGATGGCCTCTTATTAATACATAAAAACTAAAGGCCTACATTTTGAGATTTGCTTTATCTGAAGTATGAGATGCAAAGTGTATTAATGAGCCTAACAAATGGGCTATCAGCTCTATAGGTCTTGAAAGCTTTCTTTTTCCAGATTTATAACAAAAGTTAAAGTTCTCTCTATGCTTCTTTTCTGCCATACCTCTAATATATTTAGATTAAATCCTATCAGCTACTAACATGGACAAAAATATGAGGCAAAAAAACACACATGAAGAATATTGATAGTCAGTGTAGTCATCAACATATATCTTCTTGACAGAAGCAAGGAAAACAACATTGTTAGGAATTAATTACAGCACATTCAAATGAGATGGCGAGAGGTCACTGGGGGAAGGTGATGCAAACTGCAAACACATCTTTTATTCTGCTGGTAACTTAGTCCATTAAACTATTTTCCTATTCACTGCTCACAACTCTCTACCATCATGTGGAAAACACGACCAAATGTTCAGCATGGCTGCCACAAACCTGATTTAACATTTATACATTGGTAAGAAGAAACACAACATTTTAGCAGTGGATGGACTCTACAGAAGATTCATTACTTTGTTAGACCATAAGCATTTCTTATTCAGTGCCTGAAGTGCAGATCGAAATCCATTACAGATAATGATTGCACTCACCTTACAAACAAAATGCTGCCTTTAAACAGAAATGCTTGCTGCCCGTGCAAAACAAGCAAAATCTCTTACCTGGGATATTTGTAGAACAATAATTTAGTAATCATTTCAATGCATCCGGTAGAAACAAAACAAACACAAAACCCCCCTGAGGCTAACGGACAGAAGATTTTGTGAACAGCACCAAGAAGTCCTGAATATTTTTAGGATCCTGTAGTCTAAGAAGATAAAAAACCTGTATGTGCAGAAGATTTTCTCAGTGCCCACGAGGCACCGGTCTGTATTTATATTAAGATATACATTTTAAGGTTCAAAACATGTAATATCACCATTCTGTTATTTGGGGAGTGCTATAATGGCAGCTACAGAGCAGAAGTTATCAAAAAACCAGTTCATTTCAATTCAACATTTTTAAAGCAAACTCAATTTTAACACAGGACAGGCCCTTCAAACCCTGATCTTGACCCAAATAAACGAGGTTACTCTTCAAATTCTGCACAACAGTTTAAAGCCTTTATTTTCCTTCTTCCATTCCAGTGACACCGGACTTTGCAACGCGGAACGGCACACCGCACACTTATTTTCAGTCTTGCACTCTGTGAAAGTGGTTCTGATCCATTGCTGTGAAGAACAGGCAGATAGCAGCTGTGATGAACACATGCACTCCCTCATACAGCAGTTTTGGAGAGAAGACACTCCATATGAACAGGTGGTACCGCAGACCCGTCACCAAAACAACGTAGATGGCAACTGGAATTGAGCGCATTAGAGCGTAGCAGAAACAGCCGTGACCCACTGCTGCTGAATTCCTGGCAACAAAAACAGAGGAGCTTATTCTCAGGCAAACTTAGTAAAGACATCGGAGTTCCTCCACTCTTGAGCAGTATTTCGCAACGCAAGGAATACTCACAGATCTCCACTTCATGTTAGAAAGCTGATTATTGATGCAATTATGTAACTAATAAAGCTTGTTCTTATCACCTCTATATATGCTATAACATGTAAGTATGTTTGGTGTAAGCATAGCAACTGTCACTGCAATAAAGGTACCCAGTAGTTCACCTCACACTTAAATGGTTCTGTGCTTTAATATTTTTTGTTCTAATTGTTAAAGTCTCCATTAGGCAGTTTCAAGATAGCTTTGTCTCCTGTTGGCCTTCCAGTGCCTTTCCACAGGATTTGAATGTTAAGAGGAAGAGAATAGACTTCAGTTCTCTTCACAAAGCTTCCTAACCTGTTCAGTGGATCACCATATGGAGTCTGTGCCCCTTGTAAAGAGCACTAGACTTGCCAGAGTACACTGCTGCCCATAGCCAGTAACGCTGTTCAAAACAACATAAAAATTGTGCTATTGGAAAGCTTTGCAAAGCTAGCTAACATAACATTCTCCAGGGAACACCATATTCTTAGGCTTGCAGGAGCAATACACGGCATTCCTGTCACAGCAGCTTTAGCTCAGCTGGGTCTGCTGTATCACAGGAAACGTCTGCCCCATGTGTAACCTGCATGGTCCAAATCTGCCACATTGATGTGGGTGGGTGACAAGAGTCAGATGAAAATGGAAGTGAAGGGGTTTTATGCACTTTGTTCTCCCTCTCCTGAAGTGCCAACTCAAAGCAATGATGCTGGGTTGGCGCCTGCCCAATTTCCCCAGACCACACCTGTAGAGGCTAATTCAGACCAAATTCAGATGTTTTGTCTGAACAGGTAAAGGAAGGAATAAAGCAATTTTGCTGGAATAATAAGAACATTTTCCTCTCCCTATCAAAATATTTTACATCATCAGTTCCCAAAAGAACTCACTGGCAAAATGCAGAAGTGTTTTTACACTGAGGTCCTGATCTGAGAATCTGTTCTGCTCCTCCCAGTTTTTAATCCTGATCTTGTTCCAAGTAATGAAAATTTAACATGACTAGCACTTCTGTGAGATGCAAATTAGTCACTTATGACTAAGTAAGCTACAGAATGCAGTATTTTACATAAAGCATTAAATTTCTTATTCTTTAAATAAAAATAAGTAGGATACAGCCCTGTTTTCCAGTGAAGTCAAGATTTAAATTCCAAAGGCTTTCAGTGGAAGGAAGAACAGGTCGTGTTGAAAGCAGAGTTGAAAAATCAACTAAGAACAGCAGGCATGAATGACTGCAAAACATACATTTAGTTCACAGAAAAGTATCTCCCTTGCTGTTTAGTCAAGGAAACTGTGACTTGGGAGTGAACTAGGCTGCTCCCCGCTTCTGTATAACTATTTTAGTCTTTAGTGAGCTTGTGTAAATAACCAGCTTTACGTTTAACAACCAATTTTGTTGACAACGATTTAACAACCTGCAGTTCACTCAGTCTTAGCTATTTTCATGCTGAGTAAAAACAGTATTTGTAGTAAAAAAAGTAGTTGTTGAACAACACAACGGAATAGACATAGAAAATGGCTTTTGAGTCAGAAAGGGCAAACAGCTAATTTTTAAACCACTTTCTAGAGTCAAAAAATGCACTTCACAGACCATCTAGATGAAGGCTATCAGTGGTTGTGGCTATCACATTTATTAAGCTCAATGATGGGATTTTAAAGGGAATACTAAAAGCAAGAAGTGAGCATCTATGGACTTACATATCCAGGCTCTTTCAAGAGTCCTGTATTTCAAAATTAAATTTCAGTTCATATATTTTTCCGTAGTTTGTGCTAACCTAACAACACATTTAGTGCATTATGGTGAAAAAGATCCTGATCATAAATCAATGGTGTTAAAAATTTTTTAAATGGCTATTTTTTAACTATGAAGAAACTGTCCAGAAGCTTATTTTGAATTGAATCTCTATGTGTTCGCTTCTTGGGCTCAAAAATTTGGTAAACATAATATTTTAGATATTTCATTTTACACTGAAATGAGAGCACACAGGGATCTTTACTAGTAACACTTAAATTTTGCATTTTCATATTCTCATTACTGGCAAAGAATCCCCAAGTCAGTGTTACAATTCTTCCTGCATTCTGATATCATCAAAATGATAGACTGTTTTTTGCTTATATAACAATAGCTTTACTTCCAAAAGGTCTCAGCACTCACTTCACCTCTCAAAAAAACATAGACAGCCACCTGCAGAAGAAAATCTTGGCCAGTTTCACAGTACAATGCAGAGGTGCAATTTAGAGAAGGCAACAAAAGCACACTGTATCCACAAAGTTAAACTGTCAGTGGGGTTCAACAGCAGAATAATTGGGTTTATTTTGGAACTGGTGAAAGGGTTCACATGTGTGTTGTTGAGGAAACAGCATTGGAATGACTGAGCACAAGCCAGTTAGACCGACTTGGCTGTTCTGATGCTACAGCAACAACTTACTTCTTCAAGCACATCACCATCCTTTCTTCTTGCTTCAGCCAGGGACAAAATTTGCTGAACGGCTAAGAATAATGACTTTGTGCACTCCTTCTGCTCATTCTACACACACAGTGACCACAAGAAACCAGGCCACAGAAAGGCAGCAGCCAGGGAACAGGCTGCTTTTGATAACATCACCATGACAATACAGCTAGTTCAGCTGGTTCCCAAGTGATTCTGAAAGAAGCCACCAGAACACAGAAAGCTGGCTGTGGCATGCCACTCATGTATCCTACTGTTTATGATCTGGATCAGCCAGTATTGAATAACCTTGCAACACCTCACTGCTGTTGCAGTAAGAATAATGGAAGACCACAGGACAAATCTAAAGCATCAATCTGTAAATACTCCATACCAAACTGTCTCTTCAGCAGTTAATGTCTTTCTGTATTTAATGGAGAAGAGCATAGAGAGATGTAAACTGGACACACTACGTCCATGTTCTGACAAAACCAGCCCAATACTAAGGCCTCTGCACAAAGAGGCAGTAAAAAAAGGAATAGTCAGCCTAATACTGAGCTCATTTAGCAAGTTCACTTATGAGGACTTGAATAAGAAATCCAAGTGTTAAAGATGACAAAGCATATCCAAACTTCATGCAAGATCCAGAAAAAAACCAATGACTTCGGAGACTTCTGAAGCAAAGAACACTACAGACTCACATCACTAGACATGCCATATTTAGACTGAAAGCATTAAGTGTGGTCTAGAGCACATATTGTCTTTCAACAATAATCATCTCTTTTAATTGAATCTTAAATACATAGAAAAACATGGCCAAGAAATTGTGCTATTAATAGGTTTTCTGCTTCTTTGGATATCCGAAATCCTGATTGCCAATGTTTTGTCAACAAATCTTTCACCTCTCAATCTGTCTCTAAGGTGCCATTAAAATGGGTAAATACAAGGCTTGCAAAATGAAAAAATTATGGTGCCAAAAAAAAAAAAAGAAAGAAAAATAACTCTTTTCTTGTGAAAATGTACCTCCCAGTTATATAGAATACATGGCAGATGGTGGCAACAAATTTTGTAGTTTAAAAATCAAGCAAAAAGCTCCACAGACGGCCCTACAAATGCATCCACAAGGAATTTTAAAATACACTGCTTTACAAGGGTTCCCACCCTTGTTCCAACCCACCAAATCAAACAAACATTTTAGAAACATGCAAGCATACGAGCGAGGAATACCCTAGTATTGCAATTTTTCTAGAGTTGGAGGAGGAGGGTTGTTTCTGGATATTACTGCCTAGATAATCTCTTATTACTGAATTTGCCTACTTGAGGCAATTTTTACTGTATTAACATTTTTTCCTGTATTAAGTGGCACTTTTCTTTCCAGGCATTCTGCAGTTTCAGTTTGCAAGATGTCCCTTTTTAGTGCTCTCTGAAAAATAGTTGGCATTTTGTTAATTTGTCCTGTATATACTAATAAAGGGTTGCAGTCAGAAACAAACCTTTGTAGCACTCCAAGTGCCTGCAACATCTTAAGAGTATCTGCAGTTTGTATGAAATTTCTCTGATCCAAGCGAATATCAATCAGTTTATCAGCAAGAACAAATTTGCTACGTCTCTCCCACATGTCCCACTCTCACCCATTATAATTCTTACAAGGCCTTTTTAGACTACAGCACAGAATCCTGCATTGTCAGGAAAAACACAGTTCCAAAGGAACCTGGAGTCCTTTGGAGATTTACATTCTCAACTCTGGTATAGAGCACCAATTAGAACAAGGTTAATTCTATAAAGTCACAATTTTTGTCGCCAAACACCATCAATGGACAGATGTAAAAAAGGGTGGTTGCCAGCAAGCTAAAAGGGCTATCGGGTATATTCTATTAGCATGGAAATTACGGAACTTGGGGATGATTACTGATTTTCCTGTGCATTCTCCTTCCGAGTAAGAAAGGCAGAGAAGCTACGACTGCCCGAGCAAGGTCAAGTGTCTGTGGCAGTAAATTACAGGGGACTATAGCATATGTGGACTGCAACACAGGGTTCAGCAGGTTCTCATAATGATTTAGCTGTAAAAATCTATTAAGACCTGAAGCTTCAATTCTCTTCATTTCAGCATCAAGAACAGGAAAAATAGAATCATATCAACGTTTTTTCCTGTTTTCACTGCTGGCATAATCAGTTGTGCTGTGAACGTCCTGTCTGCAAAATAAGCAGTCTCACTCACACAGAACAGCTGACTCTTCCCAATGGCACCCACTGCTAGCTAACCTGCTTAGAACAGAACTCTATCTAAAACGCAGGGCATGTATCAATTACGTTTCAGATTCCTTTCTCTCATATTTAGTCAGGCTTCGCCACTGAAAATCATTCTGAATGAACTCCCCTAAATTGCATACCTATCAAAGATTTATATTAGACTGTAAGTAGAAATCCAATTACGCTGGCATTGGGCCGCAAGGTCTGAACAGCCGCTCTC